GATTACACCATATTTTCCTTTCTGTGTCTAACTTATTTCATTTAGCATAATGTCCTCCAGGTTGTGGCATATAGCAGAATCTTTTTAAGGCTGAATAATATTCCATTGTGTGTGTGTGTGTGTGTACACACACCACAGTTTCTTTATCCATTCATCCATTAATAAATTCTTAGGCTGTTTCCATATCTTGGCTCCTGAGATAATGCTGTAAAGATTAATTTGTACCCAGATATCACATTGTACTCCATAAATATATACAATTTCTCATGGGTCATTTAAGAAAAATAAATTTTTAAAATTCAGACACAGAAGTAGATTAGAGGCTGCCAGAAACTGGGGTGGGCAGGGAGAGGAACAATGAGAAGTTAATGCTTGATTGGTGCAGAGTTTACATTTAGGATGATGAAAAAGTTTAAAAACAGACAGAAGTGATGGTTACACAGCATTGTGAATGTTATCACTTCCATGGAGTTGTATGCTTAAATATGGTTAAAATGGCAAATCTTATATTGTATATATCTTACCACAATAAAAAAAAGAAAAAATGTTTCTTCATTGCTTTCCTCTGAAGAATCTTCTCAGAGCCCTCTTTATCTCTTTGAATTATTCTCAGGCTGTAGATGAAGGGGTTCAGCATGGGTGGGACCACAGTGTAGATCACCGAGGCTGCTGCACTTGAGTGTGAGTTGTGTGTAGCAGCAGAACTAAGATACACTCCTAGGCTTGTAGAATAAAATAAGGAGACAACTGAGAGGTGAGATGCACAGGTAGAAAATACTTTTTACTTCCCCTGAGCTCTCGAGATTGCACATATGGCAGAAACTATCTTAGAAGAATAGTAAAGGATATCATCAAGGGGAACACGACCCAGTATCCCTGTTACAAAATATATCACCATGTCATTAAGAATAGTGTCAGAACAGGCCTGGTGGACCACGTGGCAAAGTTCACAGAAAAAGTCAGGGATTTCCAAGTCTGTACAGAATGACAGCCGTAATGCCATTCTTTGTAATGAAGAATTCAGGCACTCATGATTCAGGACACCAGAACCAGAAACACACAGAGCCTAGGGTTCATGATGACTGTGTAGTGCAAGGAGTGACAGATGGCCACAAACCTGTCATAAGCCATCACAGCCAAGAAAATGTTCTCTAACAGTACAAACAGCATAAAAAAGTACATCTGGGTGATGCAGCCTTTATAGGTTATGATTTTGCTGTGTCTGTATATTCAGCGGCATCTTAGGAACAGTGGTGGAGACGACACAAATGTCAGAAAAGAACAGGCTGGAGAGGAACAAGTACATGGGCATGCAGAGGTGGGAGTCTGAGATGATGGCCAGGATGATAAGGTTTCCAAAGAAGGTGACCAGGTACGTGGACAGGAACAGCCCAAAGAGGAAGGGCTGTAATCTGGGTTCCACTGAAAACCTCATAAGAAAGGTTGAAATCCATGTATCTTGAAAATCTTTGTGCTGTTCGCTATTTGTAGCTCTGTGTCTTGAATGTAGTTCCAGAACAGTGAGTCCTAGGTTTCCAAAATAATTTTTGATTCTAAAGTGCTGAAACTCACAAACTGTAGTTTACTTTTCTAATCAGATGCAGAATAGTAAATGCCAAAGCATCAGGACTCCGCCTTCCAGAAGTGTGGCATTCTGGCTTATTACTGAACACACTTTGGGTCTGTTCTTCTACGTCCCCTTGCTGGTGGTCCCTGGGATATTAACACCCAGGCTCTCAGCTACATCCTGGTCATCTACATGACCCTGTGCTTCCTTTGTCCCTTACCCTTCACTGGCTGTCCCAACTCAGCCACCTGCTTCCTGTGGAAAAACCACATGGAGTCAGTTTGATGGTGGTTCTTACTCTTTGGCCAATACTATGACTCTGGATTTGGCCTTTGAGAGAGGAGGAGGCAGTGGCTGGCATCAGAAGCACCTAGCTCTCATTGTTGTCTCTTCCCTGATCCAAGTGACTCTCTGTAGAATCTGACAGGGAAAGACTCCACCCTTCACTCTTGTGGACACATAACCTGAGGCTGGATATGTCATGTGCATCTACAGTGAGAGTTTGGTCACTGACTGCTACTCTGTCCTAGGAGAACTGGGCTTTTGACTTTGGGGATTTTCCAGTTGCCTTTTCTGGCCAGGAGCTTGCTTGACTCTGCCAAGGAAGTGATTGGACTGTGCAGTGCTAGTGGATAGATATGAAACTGACTTTTGCATGTTTGCTTTTCTCTCCTGCCACTTTGCTGAATCCATTTATGAACTCTGGATATTTTGTGTGAAATCCTTTGGGTATCAACATAAAACATCATATAAACCGTGAACTGGGATTGTTTATTTATGTCCAATATGGATGCCTTTTCTTTTTCTTCCCTAATTACTCTAACCAGGACATCCAGTACTATTATGAATACTAGTGAGGATAGTATTCTGAAAAGATTTTTTTTAAAAGACGAACAATAAGAAATAAAATAAAAATTGTAAATATACATCTTATCATAAAAATATAAATATATTGCTAAAATATTAAAATAAAAAATAAAAATTAATCATTGATAGAGTAAAAAATAAAAATAGATATCATACAAAGTATGTCTTCTGGCCGTAAGAGGATAAACTCTGAAATATGTAAGAAAAAAACTGAAAATTCACAAATTTTTGGAAAATAAAAAACCCTTTGCTTGAACAACAGAGGGTTTAAAGAAGAATTAACAAGGACTATTAGAAAATACTTAGATGAATGAAAATGAAAACACAACATTTCAAAACTCACAGGACGCTACAAAATACTGCAAAGGAGGAAACTTAGCCCTGGGATAGTTTTCAGGTGTGAAATTTGGTGTGACTGTGCTTGTGGCTGCTGAGCTGATGACTATGTGGTTGGGACTGCAGGGGTTGTGGGTTCTGCCACTGTTTACTCCACCACTTCACTTTTGCTCCAGAGAAGTGTTCCAAAGAAAGGTGTGGGTGTGAATACCCAAAGATGTTTCCCAGCAAGAAAGCACAGAGAAGGGGGTTTAGATGGAAAATGTAGAACTGGAAATGGCCAAAGTCTGGTCCTGAAAAGACATGATGCTGATTCCCCAAGACAATATGCCCCCAAGGGGACTGCTCTTGTGGAAAACTATTGAAGAATTTCTATATGTTAGAACTACAGAGATCCCAAAGATCTGACCAGAGACACCTCATGTGAACTCAGGAACAGACTATAGAAGGCCCCCACCTCTATTTAGATGTTTGTGATGTATGGGCAGGTGAGGTCGGAGAGAGTTTCCCAACATCGGAAGGGGTTTCCAGAGAAGCCTGTTGGGCCCTGATTCCTTCTTCCTCAGTCTTGTATCTCTTCCTAAGAATGATTCCACAGTGGTGGAAAGAAGTGTTGTATATGAAAAAATCAAGGCTTCAGAGAGTTTAACATTCTCCTAGCACATGAAAGCATTTTTTTTATTTTCAATATCTGCACATACTAAGTGTAGTTGTGAGTCTCCACAGGAGTATAGTTATGTCACCACCAAACTGAAGAACACTCAATCACCATGAGAAGACTCTTGTGATGCCCCCTTGTACTGAACTCTTCCACCCCAACCACTGATATGTTATGTCTCTATACCTTTCTGTTTACTAGCATATTAGATAAATGAAAACACTCTGTTGTCTTGTGGCTCCCGTTTGTCACATTTGATGCCACATTTGTAAAAGTATTAAACATGGTGACACATCCGGCCATCACAGAGAAACTCCATTATTATGAGTTATGTGAGTTTTGGTAAGTCCCTGTGCTCCCTGTGCTTAACTTTCTTCCTTTGTAAGATGGAAGACATGATTTGGAGGAAGGACCAAATGAGATACTAAGAACCAAGAAACTGACTAATCTCTATAGAGCAAAGACAACAGAAGAACTGAAAAAAAGAATGAGCAATGACTGGATTTCCTTTGTTCTTTAACAAAACACAAGCTGTTACTCCTCTCCCTCCCTCTTCATAACATGTGCTAACATCTTAGCATATAGAATAGACACCTGTGAACAGCAAAATGAACGTGGGGCTTTGTGGATCACTGAAACACAAAGCTTCCAACTGCTCCTCTTCTGAAAAGACATCAACAATTTCTTGCTTTGAGGATGTCAAATATACTTCATTTTCACACAATTAGGACAATACTCAAAATGATAACTGCTGTCTGCTACTCACCTTGATTCTTTTCCTTGGATAACTGACCTCTAAACACAGCTCATTTGGTGTTTCAAATGGGAAAGCACAGTGGACTTGCACAGACATCACTGTATTTACAGGAAAAATCCATGATGGGCTAGCACCGTGCAGATGACCTAAACTTTTTCTCAAAAAAGGAGGAACCCCATGTTGACACATGACATATTGTGTCACTTGAACTCTACGACATGAAAACAATAATGCCAAATATAAAAGGTAATTTAATATCCTCTGAAGACGTTAAACAGACACCCCACAAACACCGGTGGCCCAAAGTAATGAGAAGTCTCAAGCCCCAGAATCTCATGTCCAAACAGTACTTACAAAATTGCCAGCTCAATGTTTGTTTTTTAGAGGAAGAATAAGTAATCCAGAGTCCAGAGAGGTACTTAAAGGAGCCACTGATAAAAACATAAGTTTCAGAACACTTCCTTCAGACTATATATTTTCTGGAGCTGTCTACACCTATTAGGTTGCATCAGGATCTTCCCATTACTTATATTTATAGAATTTGTCCACATTGGGAGTCATCACATGACATAAAAGTATTTATTAAAAACTAAAAACATTCTTGTATTTTTCACATTTACAGGGTTTGACCCAGTGTGCATTCTTATATATGGGCCAACTGAAGACTCCTGCACATTGCTCATATTCAGAGGTTTCTTCCCTCAGTGTTCTGTTATGGCTTTGAATTGAACTGCCATGATTAAAGGCTTTCCCACACACTTAACATTTATATCAGTTCTCTCCACAATGCATTCTCATGTATGCTAGAAAGGTTGTGTGGTAATGAAAGCTTTCCCACATTCTTTATTCAAGGTTTTTCTCCAGTGCGTGTACTTTCATGTATCTGAAATAAACTGCAATGATCAAAGGCTTCCCCACGCACCTTAGGTTTATAAGGTTCATCTCCAGTGTGCAGTATCATGTTTTTGAACACTTGAACAAGAATTGAAGGCTTCCTCACATTCCTTAAATTCATATGGTTTCTCTCGAATGAATCCTTTCATGTTTTCGAACAGAACTGGAACGAGTGAAGGCTTTCCCACATTGTTTACATTCATAGGGTTTTTCCCCAGTGTGTGTCCTTTCATGTTTTCGAACATAACTGGAACAACTGAAGGCTTTACCACATTGTTTACATTCATAGGGTTTCTCTCCAGTGTGAGTCCTTTCATGACTTTGAAATGAACTCGGAAAACCAAAGGCTTTCCCACATATCCTACATTTATAAGGACCATCTCTAGTGTGTATCATCATGTGTCTTTGAACACTTTTGAGACGAACGAATGTTTTCCCACATTCCTTACATTCATAGGGCTTCTCTTTCTCTCCACTATGAGTGCCTTCATGATATCGTAGAGAACTAGAAGAACTGAAGGCTTTACCACATGGCTTACACTCATAGGGCTTCTCTCCAGTGTGTGTTCTTTTATGACTTTGAAATGAACTGGGAAAACCAAAAGCTTTCCCACACACCTCACATTTATAAGGGCCATCTCTAGTGTGTGTTATCATGTGCATTTGAACGCTTCTGGGAGAAATGAAGGCTTTCCCACATTCCTTACATTCATAGGGCTTCTCTCCAGTGTGAGTTCTTTCATGTGTTCGAATGGAACTGAGAAAACTAAAGGCTTTACCACATTCCTTACATTTATAGGGCTTCTCTCCAGTGTGAGTTCTTTCATGTACTTGAATAGAACTGGAACAACTGAATGCCTTATCACATTCCTTACATTCACAGGGTTTCTCTCCAGTGTGAGTTCTTTCATGTCCTTGAAATGTACTGGGAGTACCAAAGACTTTGCCACACACTTTACATTTGTAAGGTCCATCTCCAATGTGTGTTATCATGTGACTTTGAACATTTTTGAGACAAACGAATGCTTTTCCACATTCCTTACATTCATAGGGCTTCTCTCCACTGTGAGTGCTTTCATGGTATCGAAGGAAACTAGAACAGCCAAAGGCTTTATCACACTGCTTACACTCATAGGGTTTCTCACCAGTATGAGTTCTTTCATGTAATTGAAAGAAACTGTGATAAGCAAAGGCTTTCCCACACACCTTACATTTATAAGGTGCCTCTCCAGTGTGCAGCATCATGTGTCTTCGAATGCTTTTGAGAGAAATGAAGGTTTTCCCACATTGCTTACAATCATACAGTTTCTCTTCAGTGTGAGTTCGTTCATGTATTTGAAAAGAGTGGTGACAACTGAAGGTTTTCCCACATTCTTTACATTTATGTAGATTCTCACCATATTCCTGACACTCATATGGTTTGTGTCCAGTGTGAACTGTGATGTGCCCATTAAGGGATGAAGGACACATGAAAGTGTCTCTGCACACACTGCTTTCACTTGGTTTTACTCCAGGAGGAGTTTTCTTGTTCAGATGACAATCTGGAACTCGGCTGAAGATTTCTCCACACTGACTACCTTCTGCATTTTCACAGACTCTCTCTACCACATAATTGCTGTAAAATATGAGAAGCACATTATTAAAAATTTATTTATTAATGATTTTATATTTATTAGTAGGTACTGGGCTTATATTTTTAACATTATCAGAGAAAGTGTAGGCTTTATGCCCTGGCTGAATTCTTTGAACATGAATGGATTGAATGCTCTTAAAGATGACCCTATCACACCATAACCAAATTAGTGATATTCACATGGGGTTTCTTAATACTGTCTCCAAGGAAACTATTTTGCCACCATTGACTATGTATGTCACAGTTAAATATAATATTTACTGGGAAAATTTTCTAAAACTAAATTTAAAGTCGGGTTCTTTTGTTTTGTTTGTTTTTTTTAAATTTCCTGTCATACCAAGATTTTCTCCAGGGACATTGCTTTCTCTTGTGAGTGCAAATTACCTTAGGTTCATCCTGGGATTATTGTACTGATCTACAATGTTCTGGTCTTCCAATTCTTTTCCTAAAATGTAGACCCAGAAAAATAATTACAAATTATTACACAATTAAAGAAAAATTATTAGATTATAAGTTCGTGGTATAGTGTGACCATGCTTGATTTATTCAACAAAGCATTCCTTTCTGTGTTGCAAATCATACAACAGCACTAAAGAGAAACACTTTTCTCTCCTTGATTAAGTGAAAGAATGTTGTCATCCTTACCTATAGAAAGCAGGTTCCTAAAGGTTTCCAGCATCACATCTCTGTAGAGATTCTTCTGGGAAGGATCCAGCAAAGCCCATTCCTCCAAAGTAAAGTTCACGATCACATCCTCAAAGGTCACTGAGTCCTGAAACACCCCACATACATAGAGGAAGTTTGAGACTGACAGCACTGGGGATCTACTCTCAATGCCTAAGAAGTTCACATGATGCGATCTCAAAACATTTATTCTGTGACCTGGACATCAGATTATTACTCTGTCTATAATCACTTCCTCCCACACAGCAATCCTGATGCTAGAACTGAACTATGGGGTAAAGCAACAGCAGAACAGGAACATGCCTCTCATGTTTGAGTCTAGAGAGTTACATGTACTGCTGAGTCACCCCTACTGTCTCTTTGTACAGTGGATCTACACCACCTGTTGTTATAAAGTCCTTTTACCTACTGTGCAGAAGAAAGTTAACATTAGCAGTCCTGAGGCTACGTATCCTTAGAAATGCTTGTTCACAAAGTTTGACTGTTGATGGTATCTGGGATACGGATGTTGTGAGACACCCTACCAATATAGCTGATAAGATAATCATTACTCATTGGAACAGAAACCCATGAGCACAAACCTCTGTGAGAAGCAGGACCAGGGTAGGAAAACCTAACCTGTAATTGATGAATTACTGAAGACTGAGTGTGAACAAGTAAGAGAGGTAAAAATTCCACAGGCTCAAACTTAGGGTCTCCCCATTAATTTGGGAGATTTACCTCCAGGAACCCTACCAGTTCTCACAAGAAAGCTTCCAGCAGGAAAAGGGAAAAAGTAGCCATTTTGATATGTGCATACAGAAATCTATTCTTCTCAAAATAAGTGGTGAGAACAAGAAGTACTCATGAAAGTCACAACCCAGAGACACAGCTTCTTAAATGAGACCAAGTCATAGTGACACCCCTTAGTCCCACACCTCACTGTCACGTCAATAGGGCTCATGTATAACGATGGCAGAACAAGAATGAATGTGCTGCATGCCTCACAACTTATTTAAGAGTTCTCTAGCAGTCCACCAACAAACTGAATAACACTGATGAAGTTAATAAGTTCCTAGAAACACATCACCTACCAAGACTGAGTCATGAAGAAATAGAAAACCTGTAGACTTATGACAAATGTCCCTAATGAACTTCTGTTAATGGAATGTACCCCCCAAAATCACTGAAGCTTAATCCCCACTGTAACTGTTAAGAAGTTGGGAAATACAATTATCTTCATTGAAAGATGGGGTCTTGAAGAGGTAATAGGATTGTGGGGACTATGCCTTTGTGAATTGATTGATCTATTCATCGAGTAAGGAGTGGTTCTGATAGATTTAAAAGGAGAGCAACTGAGAAACTTAGCTCTCTCTCTCTTGCTCCGCCATTTTTCCTTATGCTGCAGTGCTATGGGGTGTCCAGCAGGAAAAGGTCCTCACTGGATGTGTTCCCTGGACTTCAGACTTCCCAGCATCCAGCCTCCAGAATGGTATGCAATAAATTCTATATTTAATATCATGAATAGATTAATGCCTTCCCTGTGGAGTAAGAGAGCTCTCCCTGGTATGGATAGGTCCCCAAGAGAGCTGGCTGTTAAAAGCAGTCTGGCACCTCCCCTCCTTTTCTCACCATGTCATCTTCTTGCATCCACAGAGTGCCACTTTCCACCATGAGTGGAAGAAGCCTGAGTCCCATGTCTGTTGCAGGTACCCCAGAATCATGAGCCAAATGAACCTCTTTTCTTTTTAAATCACCCAAGTCTCAGGTATTCTGTTATAGAACACAAAATACAACTGTTTATTGGTCTGTGGAAAACTGAAAAAAAATTAAAATATGGGAGCACTTTCAAATGTAGCATGGAGACAAACCACATGAACAAGAAAACAAACCACAGCCTAGACACCTTCACTGCTTAATTCTATCACATTTAACAAATTAATACCAGTTCCTCACAGACTCTTTCAAATCACAGAACAGGAGTGAACACTTTCCAATTCATTCTATGAGGCCAGTTTTAGATTGATAAAAAAATCAGACTAAGAGATCACAATAAAAAAAAAAATACATACGAATTTTTTATAAATGTGGATACAAAAATCCTCAACAAACTAGTAAAAACCTGGTATCAGACACAGATATAAAAGGATTATATATCACCACCAAGTAGGTTTTATTCCACATATAAAAGGTTGTTTTAACACTCCCAAAGTCAATTAGTGTAATACATCATATCATTAGAAAAAGAACGAAAAATCACAGAAAATCTCCATAGATACAAAACAGACATGACAAAATTCAACAATGTGCCAAAGAAGAAAACACGAAGCAAATTATGAACAGAAGGCAACTTCCTCAAGCTGACAAAGGTCATTTACGAAAAATGCACAGCTAAGAGCATACGTAATGGTGATAGACAGGATTCTTTCCCCAATTAGAAGGCAGAACGAAAGCAAGAATGAACAAACATTCTTCCCAGTTTTAATCAACACTGTATCAAATATACTACCCAAAGCTATTAGGATAGGAAAAAATAAAAGACATTCACACTGGACAAGAAGTAAAACTATCTCAATTTACATGTAATATGATATTGAATATAGAAAATCCTAAGGAATCCACTAAAAATCTAATAGAAATAATACATCAATTTAACCAAGTTTGGAGGTACAAAATTAATATATTAGCACCCCCCCACCCCTTTATCCCTTGTGGATGCATTCCAAGACCCCCAGTAAACTGAGGATAGTACCAAATGCTATATATATCATATTTTTTCTATACATGAATACCTATGATAAATTTTAATTTATAAGTCAGGCACAGTAAGAGATTAACAATAATAACTAATAATAAAATAGGACAAATTTAACAATATAATGTAATAAAAGTGATGTGATGTGCTCTCTGTCAAAATATCTTATTCTACTGTAGCTCTTAACAACCACAGCATATAATTTTATTTCTTTCCTTATTAGGTGAGAACTTTTAACTTTTCACTTAAAACATTTTACTGCTTCTCTTTGACATATTCAGATTACCAGCATCACTACTCTTATACACTGGAACTGTTCCTTGAGCACAGTCACCGACATACTGCAAGTCAATCTGAGAACTGAGACAGCTGCTAAGTGACTAAAGGGTGTGTAGTGCATACAGTGTAGATGGGCTGGATGAAGGGATGATTAACCACCCTGGCAGGATAAAGTGGGATGGCTGGAGATTCATCATGCTATGCTGAATGGCACATAACTTAAAACTTATATACTGTTTATTTCTAGAATTTTCCATTTACTATTTTCAAACCATGGTTGACTACAGGTAACTGAAACTGTGCAAAGTGAAACTTTGAATGAGGGGGAATTACTTATACAAAACCAATTATATGTATATACACATGAAATATTTGAAAATGCAACTAAGAAAACAAATATATTTACAATGGCATCCAAAATATAGTCATGTGTAGCTTAATGGAAGGGAGATGGCCCGAGAAATGCACCATTAGGTGATTTTGTGGTTGGGCAAAAATCAGAGTGTACTTAGAGAAACTTATGGGACCACCATTATATATGCCATCCATTGCTGATCCAAAGGTCCTCATGCAGTGCATGACTACATATAGAAATAAAAATTTTTAAAGAATGTAAAACTTATACTCTGAAAATTATAAAACTTATTGAAAAAAAAAACTGAAAAAAACCCTAAATAAATGGAAAAACTATGCCATTTTCATGGATCAGATGGCTTAATATTATGAGGATGGCAATACCCCCCTAAATGATATTCAATGCAATCCCTATCAGAAGAAGGGGTGACTACCTTGTAGTAATGGAAAAGCTGATTCTAAAATTCATATGGAACCACAAGAGACTCAGAATACCAGAACTATCTTGAAAGAGAGTAAAGTAGGGATTACACTTCATAATTTCAAAATTTTCTACAAAGGAGCAATAATCAAGTGTAACAATGACACAAAGAGTTATTCAGATCTGTGAAATATAACTGAGAGTCCAGGGGGAGAAAGGTCAGCAAAATAGCAGAGTAGGCCACTCCAAACATTCAGGCCTCCAAACATTCAACCCTTGACAGAAGCACAGACAAACAAGCAGAACTGTCAGAATAACTTTGTCAAAATTCACAAAAACTGTCAAAAGTTAACAGCCAGCATGTGAATGCAGAGTCAAGAAAAACGCAAGTGAGGGCCGGCCCGGTGGCGCACTGGATAAGTGCGCCGCTTGGGAAGTGCGGCGGCGCTCCCGCCCGAGGGTTCGGATCCCACATACAGACCGGTTCCCGCTCACTGGCTGAGCGAGGCGCGGGAGCAACACCGGGGGTTGCAATCCCGTTGCCGGTCCCCGGTCCGGTACGGGGGCAACACTGAGGGTTGCGATCCGTTGCCGGACACAGAAAAAGACAAAAGACAAAAAAAAAAAAAAAAAAAAAACGCAAGTGAAATATGGTAGGAAAGACTTGGGAAGTTTTTACTTTCCTTGCCCCAATCCCTCTCCAACTCAGTGCCAGACTTCAAGACAGGCTCAGCCCCTGTTCTCAGTGTGGGACACTGGTCACCGGTTCCAGAGGGAGTACAGCAGATCTTATTTGCAAATTATTGCTTCTTTATGTTTCAGTCAGTCTGGGAGCTATAAGAAGGTCTGACACAAGACTCTCTTCTCCATTTTGTCTAAAGCAGAAGTCAATCGGAGTGGAAAATTGGCAGGAATTGCTTGGAAATGTTGTAAATGAAGGATGAGCCAGCAGCTGCCTGGAACAACTGTTCACAGCTGAGACATATAATAGACCACTTAAAAACTGGGAGGAAAAGCTGGAGAGAAATTTTTCCTCAGAAATAAGGGTATTCAAAAGCAGCAAAGTATACTGGAAACGAAGAAAGACTCATGCATGTCCAGAAAAAAAACCACATTTTCAGAAAACACCTGAGGAGACCCTAATTCTCAGTACTGGCTGATTTCTAGGCTCAGTGTAGCAGGAACTGAAGGCTGAGGCAGAGTTTTAAACAGCCTGGTTAAGTGTTAAAGGAATGCTCCAGCACATAGCCAGCTGCAAAGACAGGAAGAGGTGAGGTTTTTGTTTCTTTCCCTTTCTTTTCTTGCTCCTGGCATTCAGAAATCTCTGTCAAAACACTGGCTGAACACAAGCTAAAGGAACAGAGACTTCAGTGACTACACATGAGAAGAAACGCAGTCTCTGAAAAAATAATTTGTAAAAGTTATATAACAGACATGTCCAGCCTTCAACAACAAAAAGAATAGCAAACACCGGAAAAGGGGAGAATCTGATTTCCCAAGTTACCTCATTATAATATTCAAATATCTGCTTTTCAACAACAAAAAAGTCACAAAGAACTCAGAAAGACTGGAAAAGATAGCTCATCAATAGAAATAGATCTGAGATAAGCCATCTCAAAAAAATAGAGTTACAGGTAAAATAAATGACAGAAATTTTATATAGAATGGGAGGGAGGAATTGGGAACATTCTATTATAAGAGGGTAATTCAAAAAGTTTGCAGAAAACAGAATTTAAAAAATAATATGAATCTTCCCATGAAGTATTTTCATATAATTGCATTGCCCTTGAACCAGTATACTGTCTGTATCTGTGATTTCCATATCCCTGAATTCAACCATGAATGGACCTAAATTATGTGACAAAATATATGGATGGTTGTGTCTGTACAGAACATGTACACACTTTTCCCCTTGTTATTAATCCCTAAACAATACAGTATAACATCTACTTATATAGCACTTATATTGCATTAGCTATTACAAGGAATTAGAGATTAAGTATTACAAGTAATTAGTATTAGGTATTATAAGCAATCTGAGATTACTTGTATAAGGGAACATGTACGCCATTTTATATAAGGGACTTGAGCACCCATGGATTTTGGTATCCTCATGAGGTCCTGGAACCAATTCCCCATGGATACCAAGGGACAACTATAATGTTATTTGAAAGTGAATTTAGATTAGTTGTAAATGTATATTGCAAACTCTTAGGAAATCACTAAAAAAAATTAAGAGACAAGTATCCTTGATATGCTAATAGAGGAAAGGAAATTAAATCACATAGAACGCTCAATTAAAATGAGGAGACAGAAAAAGAGAGCAAGTTAAAAAGAGAGCAACAACCAATAAAAAACAGTTACAAATATCATACATATTAATACAATTATATCAATAATTACTTTAAATGTGAATTATCAAAATATACCAATTAAAAGACAGAGACACAGTAGAATGAAAAACAGTTCCAACTCTGTGTTTCCTACAAAAAATATAAAGACATCAGAGAGAGGAAGATGGGTAAATGCTGATCACAGGATACAAAATTTCAGGTGGATACAAGAAATAAGTTTGAGAGATCTAGTATACAAATGGTGACTACAATTACTAAGAATACATATATTATTGTAGTGGACTGAATTGTGTCCCCCCAAAACTCCCTGAAGCTTGAACTGTGTCACCCAAGTTTTATGTATTAGAAACTTGGTCCCCACTGTGTCCATTAAGAGGGTGGGAAATCCTATTTTGTTAATTGAAAGGTAGAGCCTTAGAGAGGTATTTGGATTGTAGGACTATGAAGGAGTGAATGGATTATAAAAGGTGGTCAGGGGTGTGGTTCTGAGGGCTTTAAAAGAAGAGGAGAGTCTGTCTTTCTCTCTCTCTCTGCTTCTACCATCTTGCAGTGTGATACCCCTGGGTCACTGTCACCACCACCAGATGGACTTTGGACTTCTCAGCCTCAGAAACTAACCAATTTCGTTTTTTTATAAATCACCCAGTTTCAGGTATTTTGTTATAAGCAAAATAAACGGACTAATACAATTACACTCTTGAAAATGAAGGGAATAGATTTGAAGTGTTCTCACAACAAAAAAAGATAAAGTGAGGTTTATACATATGTGAACTAGCTTGATATAACCATTCCATAATGTATACATATTTCAAAATGTCATGTTTTATAAGATAAATATACTCGATTTTTGTCAACTTAAAATATGCAAATACATAAATATTTTAAAAATAATATAACCATAAAGTCATACAGATTTAAGTATTAGTGTGTGCAGAAAGATATACTATCCTAACACTAATATCCAAAGAAAGCCGGAGTAGCTGTATTAATTTCAAACTAACCAGGCTTTTATATCAGGGAAAATTATAAGGGACACAGGGATTACATCATGATAAAGCAGTCAGTTTTCCAAATAGACATAACAATTCTTAATATGTATGCACCTGAATATGTATGTTACCAAAAGGGGCTGGCTGGTTAGCTCAGTTGGTTAGAGCACAGTACTGATAACACCAAGGTCCAGGGTTCAATCCCTGTATCAGCCAACCACCAAAAAATAATAAATAAGTAAATAAATAATAAATAAAACAGAGCGTCAAATTACATAAGGCAAAAACTTTCAGAACAGCAAGAAAAAATAGACAAATCCAAAATTACATTTGGAGATTTCAACATACACCTATCAGTAATTGACAGATGAAGCAGGCAGAAAGGCATTAATGATACAGTTGAATTCAACGGCATCATCGATCAAATGAATTCATTTTATATTTACGGAATACTTCATCCAATAACTGCAAAGTACACATTCTTCTCAGGATCACATGGAACAGTCACCAAGATAGAACACATTCTAAGCCATAAAATATACTTTGACAAACTTAAAAGATTATGAGGGTACTTCAAAAAGGTGGTGGAAAATAGAATTAAAAGTATGAATCTTTCCATGAACCTTTTGAAGACCCCTCATAGAAATCACACAAAGTATGCTCTCAGACCACATGGGAACTAAATTGCAAATCAATAACTGAAAATTAGTTGGAAAACACCAAAATAATAGGAGATTAATCAACAAACTTCAACATAATACATAGGTCAAAGAGATGTTTCAAAAGAAATTGAAACATTTCGAAGGAAAAATAAAAGTACATCTTTTCAAAATTTGTGGGATGTAGCAAAAGAAGTGCTTAGAGAGGACATTTAAAGCAGTGAATGAATACAGTAGAAAAGAAATATAAAATCAATAATCTAAGCTTCCACTTTAGGGAACTTGATAAAAAAGCAAGATAATCCTAAATCAAGCACAGAAAAATACCAATTAGAAAAGATATCAAAGAAACCGCAAACAGGAAATCAATAGAGGGAAAGCTGGTTTTGTGAATTTCTTTTTGAAAACATCAATAAAATCGATAAACCCATAGCCAGGCTAACTAAAGAAAAAGCGAGAAGACAGACTTTACTGATATTACAAATGAAAGGATGGCCATCACTACTAATCCCATGGATATCACAGACATTCTGCTAAAATGCCTGCTATTAAGGAACTTTCTGGACAGCCACAAAAATGTTTAAGTGTGAGATGGTTATTTTCTGCTTTCCTCCCGTGAAATGTTCACAAAGAGAAAATAGTATGTAAAAAGCAGTAATGTATTAGTCCGTGGAAAACGACAAAACACTGAAGCCAACAGAAAATGTAACGTGGGGGGACAAATAGTTAATAATGTTCTAAAGCTGGCACTCGGGCATATAGAGGGGGATTTGGAAATTCAGGGATTCACTGCAGCCCTAGGAAGAGCGGGGCTCAAGGGACAGGGTCGCGGATTGGAGACGCTGCTCCCCAGACATTTGGAGACTCGAGGAAACAGGTCCCACCCCAGGGGTGAACAGACCGAGGACCCCACAGACCGCAGCTCCTCCCCCGCAAGAACCCACAGCCAGCCCGAGTCGGGGTGTCCCCTGAAGACGCCGTCGCTCACCATTTCAGAGTGTTCCAGCGTCCTCCCTACGGCAACCGCGGTCACTGCAGATCACAGCAGGACGCAGGTTGAGGCGAAGCCACTTGGGGTGTCTGCGAGCAGCGGAAAGGGACTTGAACCGCCTCCAAGCCAGAAAGGAAAACCACGCGAGAAAATGGACGTTACTTACTACTCTAGGGGTCGTCCCTGATTGGACAGTGCTCCATGTCCCGCCTCTGCGGGTTTGACTGACAGGAGAAGTGATCAGAAAGGGGGGCTAAGGGGAACCGGAGTGACAGGTTCTTGGCACAATCCTTCCCAGGCCAGGTCTCCACCATGTGTCAGCACCTGGGCCTGGCCTGAGGACGTCTTCATTCAAGCGGAACTTGCTTCAGGCTTTGCCGAGCTGACCCTGGCTGCTTCCTGTACTCAGAGGGCCCTTCCTGCTGCTGATTCCTGGAGGAGGGTCCCAAGTGTGCACAGGGAATTCCAGACTCAGCGTCCAACGGAGACGAGCCCTGGTCTCAGAGCAGGAGGGGCACCCAGGCCTGGCCAGCTCCCACTGAATCAGGAAGGAGCCCCTGACCTCCTCCAGGCTCAGGAATTTGAGATGAGGGATGCCAAGGCTTCCTCACACCTGATCTCTCAATCTACTCATTTTCAGCCAAATAAATGAGAACGGGATGCCAAGGCTTCCTCACAGCTGATCTCTCAATCTACTCATTTTCAGCCAAATAAATGAGAACACACTACAAGAGAATAAAATTATTTATTTATTTATTTTCTCTCAGCTGACCAGTACAGGCATCCAAACCTTTGACCTTGATATTATAACAGCACACTCTAACCAAGTGAGCTAACTGGCCAGCCCTTTAATTAATTTCTTTTATTTTGGGCCTTTATTTTTTGTGTGTATATGTTTTATTTTTGGTTTTTATTTTATGTATTTACTTTTTGCAGAGAATACAAATTAAATGCATGGAAAAACTGGAGTTATATGATGAGAATAGCCAATAAACCAATCAAAAAAGAAAAGAAAAAAAAGCAAAGATTTGAAATAGCTCAGATAAGCAGCCAGCTGCACCCAGAGTAAAAAAGGAAACACACATTCAGAAAGTGTACATATTCCAAAGCATGGGAGCCAGACTCTGACAGCTGAAATGGAAACCCAGGATGACTAGGCCTGGTGATGAGTCAGGTACACCTAAAGTTTTAACTCTGGGAGTTCAACATACACACCTGTCCCATGTCACAGTGTGGAAGCACTTCCTCCTTCAACCCCTTAATCTTCACTAGCAGGAAACTCTCGCCTAGAGTCAGTTTAAGGTTATGAGCAAAATAAACCATTAAACTCATAAACTCTCTCTCTGGGAGACGAGCCAAAGAGTTTTTCTCTTAAGTCTGCCCTTAACACATTTGCTTCACATATACAAATTACAATCTGATGTCAGCAACTACATTCATGCCAAAAGCATAATGCTGTTCACAGAGTGTTACAAGGTAAACAGACTTACGACCACAGAAAGGACAGAACCTACAACTGCATCTACATGTGGGTCTTTTGCTTTCCACAGCTCTGCAGTTTCTCCATACCAACCCTCCTCCTGAAGTTCTTCTCAGCAGCTGGAGGCCACCTGCAGTGGAGGCCAGGCTGTCCAGGAAGCACCAAAGACAATTTCATTTCCCTTTCTTTGCTGACTCAAGACAGGCCTCAGCTTGGAGTCACTGGCCTAAGACCTCTGCTCCACACTCCAGGTACTTCATTTCCTTCACTCCAACTGTTATAAATTAAAGAGGAAAACACTATCAATCCTATTGTTTGAATAAAACCCAGCAGAATCCTGCTTTCCTCCTGTGTTTAATGTGTAAAGTAGAAGAGAAAAACTCCAAGATACTTTACATAGTTTTTTAAAATTAGCAAATAATTATTCCTTTGAGAAAACAAAGATGTTAGTAGACTATTATTTTCACATTTACAGTTATAGAAAATAATGACTCAAATATGAATACTCCCCTTTTTCCTCTGCTTCAGCAGCTTCCTGACCTTCATAGGAGCTTTGTGCCTGGGAAGTTTACCCATTTGAAACTTTCTCTCAACCCCACTCTTACCACCACTGACCACTGAAAACTTCTGTAGCTAAATCCTGAGCGCTGAAAAATAAAATTCCATTTCAGTCTAACCGTAATCAGACTGAATCCACCTTTGGCTATCTCATGTCCCTCCTTTAAAATTGTTCACCTGAATCTGTCTTTGAGGATAGCTTGTGAGCACCACGTCCATTTTACTTGCTTCCATTCTCCCTAACCTGTCACACCACCTGCTCACTGAGGACACACACAGAATATTTTAAATGGACCATCACCTGCTGTAAATGCTGGAGGTCTCAGCACAACCATGAGAAATCCACACCCCAGAGAGGGGGTGTGGATGTCAATGACGCCCTCATCATAAAAGGGAACTTCTCTGCCTTTCCTTTCCTGGAAAACAGCTCAAAGGAATTTTCTGGAGGACTTTCTTATATAGGGCATAAAACTTGTTAGAAGTAAAGGTAGCACTGTTCAAGTTGGTGTCATTTATATGAGTTAGTTCTTCATAGGTGAAAACAGCAATAAAGCCAGTGAACCTTGATTGGATTTACCTGATTCTGAAAAGCACAGTGCAAATAATCCACACATAGAAAGAAGAAGGAGTAACTGAGGTGAGAGGAAGGACACTTACCAAGGAGGTGACCTGTGGGATGAAACACAAAGTAATGTATTAGTATAAAAAGTCAGGATATAGGATACAGGGAAGATGACACAATAAGAATCAAGAGGAATTTTTCTACCCACCCAACTGCACTCGTAGAATCTGTGTCTGATGTAGATATTTTGGAACTCTGGTGTCTATAGAAGGCTTGCAACTTCCAGGGAAAGGACTGGGTAGTAAATTGTTGTTAATTTTGGTCAATTGAAACTCTTAGCTCAGTGGCAGCTACCCATCCCCCAGCTCCATGGCAAGCAACTGTGCATGAAGTTCAGGAACAGCATGCACACAGCTTGTGTGAAGCAAGGCTGGCAAAAAGACCCTGTCCTCCAAATAATGGGAATCAGTACTCTGCTTGATAACTGCTGCTTCTGCTCACAGAGCTGCAGATGAAGAGGTACACTCATTGTTGCTAAGTCTCCCCCCACTGTCAGAAGGCCCTTCCCCTCCATCTAAAGTGATTTCCAGGGAATGTAAAAGCCTGGTGCCTTTTATTTTCCCCTTCATTTTTTCCTTTTTCTCCTTCAGAGAACCAGACATTGAAGATGAGGCTATGCAAAAGCATATATGGGGGAGATTAGAAAGTCAACATACCTGCCCAAGGAATGACCCAACAAAGAAAAGACCAGAGAAGACCTTAAGTTTACACTTCAGGCTGTTTCTCAGCACAGAGACACCCAACAACAATAAATAAGTAAATAAATACCAACAGCCCATAATGGAAGTGGCACAATTTGATTTCCAGAGTTACCACATTCTACAGTTCAGATTTCTGGCTGGCCAATTAGCTGGCCAATTGGTTAGAGTGCAATATTATAAAATTCAGATTTCTACTTTTCCAGAGAATATCACAAGGCAGACAAAGAAATGGGAAAATATGGCTCATTCAAAGAAACAAAATGAGTGGGCAGAAAACTGCCCTGAGGAATCCCAGATGTCAGTCTAACTACACAAAACTTTAAATTGTGTACCTAGGCTGGCTGGTTTGCTCAGTTGGTTACACCATGGGGTTGATTACATCAGGTCAAGGATTTGGATCCCAAATAGGGAACCAACCTAAGCATCCATCATGGATGACTAGAAAAAGAAAATGTGGTATAACACAATGGAATACTACTCAGCCATTAAAAAGAATGAAATTCTGCCATTTGCAATGACATGGATGAGTCTGGAGAAAATTATGTTAAGTGAAATAAGCCAGACAAAGAAACAGAAATAGCACATGTTCTCACTTACAATGGGCTGCTAGGAAGGAAGGGAGGGAGGGAGGGAAGAAGGAAAGAAGGAAAGAAAGAAAGAAAGAATTTTATTCATTAAAATGTGTATCATAAATATACTGAAATATAACCAGAGGAAAATATGGACAAATACAGGAAAACAGTACATAAACACATTGACAATATTAATAAAGATAGAAAATATAAAATAGAATTGAATGGAAATTTTGGAAGAGAATAAAAGTACAATAACTGAAATGAAAAATTCACTAGATGGATTCATAGCAGACTCTAGCAGGTAGAAGAAAGAATCAGTGAACTAAGACAAGGCAATTGAAATTATTGAGTGTTAAAATACAAAGAAAAAAGAATGAAGAAAAGTGAACAGATCCCAAGAGACCTGTGGGATGCCACCAAGCAGACCAACATATACATGAGAAGTTCCAGAAGGAGTATAGATAGAGAAGTAGCAGAAAAAAGAGTTGAATAAATAATGCCTGAAAAATTCCCCTATCCCAATGAAGTAAATGAAACTACATGTCCAAAAACTCCACCAAATCTGGGAAGGGTAAACTTGAAGAGACTCATGCTAAAACACATTAGAGTCAAACTGTCAAAAGCCAAAAAAAAAAAAAAAAAGAAGAAAGAAAGAAAGAAAGAAAGAAAGAAAGAAAGAAAGAAAGAGAATCTTGAAAACAGCAAAAGAGAAGCAACTCAATACATATAAGAAATCTTCAATAAAATTATTACATTTACCCTCAGAAGTTTTGGAAACCGAAAGTCAGTGGATTAACATATTTAATGATGAAAAACAAAAACAAAAACAACTGACAACTGAGAATTCTATATTCACTGGTATGGTCTTTCAGACAATGAGTGAGAAAAGTAGTACACACCCTGCAAGAAATGCTACTGGGACTCCTTCAGGTTGAAATGAAAATATATTACACAATAACTGAAATATATGAAAAAATAACTATCTACAAGAAGACTAATTACACAGAGAAATAAGAAATGGTAGTATTATTGTAATTATGATTTGTAACTGCTTTGTGTTTTCTACATGAGCAAAAAATTATATGAAAAAATAACTATCTACAAGAAGACTAATTACACAGAGAAATAAGAAATGGTAGTAGTA